CTCACAGGTACAGCAATACTACGGTGGTTACCGGCTTAAAGGGACATGGAGTATTGAAGAAAAACAGGGTCAAATATATGGTCACAGAAGAATATTTGACATTGGGTGGTGAGCACACAATTTAATATACACATGATGTATCTTAGAGTTGTATACACACAACTTACCTAATTTCATTAAGCAATGTCAACCCAATAAATTTAATTTTAAAAAGTATATAGCCTACTGCTAGTCTGTGGATTGCTGTATTGGGTCCTTAAGACAAGTCCTCATGCAACTCAAAGTGTGATCTTGATCTCTGCCTGATTTCTCATATTCTAATGTTCTATTACACAGAGTGTTACCATTGCCTGTGCACTGTCCCACCTCTGCTGTCAACAATTCTGGTTCAGGTATTCATATCTTATCTCCCCTATTAAATACCAATCATCTTCACTGTATCTTTCATATCACTTAGAAGTGTGGTCCATTAATTTAAATAAGTACAGTAATTTTTTAAATCACTGTGGTTCATTTATAGCTTAGGCTTTCAGATTATTTTATTATGTACTTACTTAGAGGGCTTTGAAACAAGTAAACAGGTTATATTCTCAGAGAAAACTGAATTTCAGACAACTTAAGTTCTCAGCACATGGCACATAGCTATTGAATATCAGAGCTAGATCTATGTTCTAGTTCTAACTTATTATCTATTTCTAAATTATTCAATTTCTTTTCCAGTCTTGCTCAAACCTTTTTTGCCAGTGAAATGTCATTTTATACTTAAGTCTGAAGTGCTTGTATGTAATCATTTTGACCATATTGTTTTTTGCTCTACAGTTAACCTCTCGTTTACTATGCAAAACAACAAAGTCATCTTGACACATTTTCTGTCCCAGAAGAGAATTCATCTCTTTTCTCCATGGAGTGCCCCTGTGGACTTCAAGAAGAGCTGGAGAAACTGGTATAAGAAGAGTCCAAATGCTTCATGCTCCTAGCACAGCCTCACTGAGTGAGCAGTTCATGTCCACAGGTAAGAAGAGAGGTGTTCCATCACCTAAAAATATCTGCTGTTACAATCCTGAATCTCAAACTAGATTATATGCTTTAATATGTAAGTCTGAGGTAGAAATTTCTACTTAACTTAGAGCCGAATTTAAAATTGAAGGAGAAAATTTAGGGAAGTATCAGAGAGACTAAGAAAGGTGCAACATACTATGTCAATAAATTTGTAAATTGGAAATCAGGTTTAATTTTTTTAATGGAAGATAACAGAATTCAGGTAATAGAAATAAGGGACTGCATTTTAAATTTATGAAAATTATGAAATGAAGAAAATTAACTATCAACCAACCATCGGGTATATATCATTATGAAATCATATTTGTTGTCATGAAAGGACATAAATGAACTTAAAACTCATTTTGCTAGGTTGCTAATTGATGTAGAAGCCACTTTAATTTGTCTTTTTAAGGAAATATACAATGGTTTACTTGAGCTTGTGGTTATGTAAGTGAAATCGGATGCAAGAGATGTTATGTTGCACTATTTCCAGGGGATAACATTTCCAAATGTGCAGCATTTCACAATGAGACCATTTCATGGTCAACTGAAAAGAGCTTGGTTTGAAGAGAGAAACCCCTGGACCCGAATCCTGGCTGTACTAGTAACTGTGAGCATGATCAAGTTATAGGTCTAGCTGGTTCCCTGTTTTCTCATCTACAAAAGGGGTTTGAACTAGTTGCAGGCTGCTGTGTACAAAACATAAGATAACATACATGAAAATTCTAACACCCAGCAGCCACTTCATAGTGTGTTGTAGCTGCTCTGATAGCTTTGCTCTGTTTCAGGCTTAGTGTTTGTACTGCGGTTCTCAGAGCTGGATGGTGATGCTTGCTTTCTGACGGTGTGAGGGGTGAGGAGCTCGTTTAATTTTCGTTTTCCAGAATGATCATGTTTTTGTTAAAGTTTGAAATCTAATATACGTCCCTCCAATGTCTATCTCTTTGAGTGAAATTAGTTAGATGTAAACACAATCAGTTCTAACGTCCTTAAATATTAGTGGACCAAAATGCCTGTTTGAAGAGTATCCTCAATGAAGTAGATGAGCCCCATACATCTTGTCCATCGTCCCCCCAGTTCCCTACAGTGAGGAAGCTCATGGCTCTAATGGAACATAATTTGGATTAAAATATACCTTCACTCATAAACCACTATCTTGCACTACAGATAAACTCAGAGAAATCAAGAGTTATGAGAATATTATTATGTTCAAAATTATCAGAAGAATGTAAGCAAATATGTCATTTTACTGTCTTGCTTAGAGTCAAAATACAATGACAGAAATGTATTTTAAAGTTCTTTCTTTTTAAGGTTCTTGATGCCATAGAATGTAAGGACTCATTGGATATAGTCTCATGGGAAAGGTATTTAAATATATCTTAAGTACCATGTTCAAAAAACATATGTATAACTAAAAGAAGAATACTTAGCTTCCATTTTGGTGTTCAGCCATTGCTCAACACTTTGAAGAAAAACTCATTCCATACCTCCCTGTTCACATGTTGTGCTTAAATGAAATTTGGAAGCCATGTTTCATATGAATGTATCCTTCACATAAAGTAAAAACACTTTAATGTTCATTGTAATACATCTCATAAATATGCCGTCTGGAATCATACCATGTTCATGTTGTGGAACAAGTTATGCCTGCAAATTTGATTGATCTTAGTTATTCTCTGGTTTGGGGAAATAAACTTACTATTTTGAGTTTCTACTATCACTAGATGTTAATCTGAGATTTTCAATACGAGGTTTTAGAACACAAATATAATATTCTTAATCTTACACAATTGTATTATCTCAGACACATCAGTAAGTAAAGGTTAGAGCTGGGCTGTTGCTGAAACTTCTCCTGTGGGACAGTCAATGTGTAGTTTGTAACAGATTCCTTTAGTAGACTACACATTAATACATTTTGTAAAGTTGCTTGCATACTTTTTGTTATTTTCACTGTGCTTCCTCTGATCTGCCTAATTTCTGTTTAGCCCCTGAATCTTTTGGGCCAAAGACGGATGAAAGAGAGAGAGGGAATAAGACATTTTGCTAAACAGAAATAAATTTTTTGTTATGGCCCTGGCTGGTGTAGCTCAGTGGATTGAGCACGGGCCTGTGAACCGCAGTATCATGGTTAGATTCCCAGTCAGGGCACATGCCTGGGTTGCAGGCCAGTTCCCAGCAGGGGACACATGAGAGGCAACCATACATGATATTTCTCTCCCTCTCTCCTTCCCTTCCTCTCTAAAGATAAATAAATAAAATATTAAAAAATAACAAAAAAAGAAATAAATTTGTTGTAATGCCCAAATAATACACTAATACATAATCATAGTATTAATTGATTTTATCTTATTTTATGAATGTAACTATTCAAAGTAAAATGAAAATTACTCTAACATATTTGTGTGTTGTGTTCTCAAGGGTATAGTTAATTGACTATATCTACACAGAAGTTGAAATTTAGCTTAGTTGTATTTTTTTACTCTAGAACCTCTAAGGATTAAATGAGCATTTTGTGGGGGGGGTGGTTTTATCACCACATTTGAAAAGCTATTTATTCTTTGATTTAAAGTATTCCACAAGGATCAGGGAAAACCTTTCTGAAAATTAAAATATGAAGATTTTCTCTTTTTTCTTTATGTGTGAGCATTGACAAAAAAAAATGTGTGTTTCTTCTCACAAATAGAAGTCTGTGGTACATTCCTGGGCCCATACACTGTGGTTTTTCTTTCACTCCTTCAGTCAGTAACACACTGAAAGGGAAACAGAGCCAGACTCCCAAAAACTTGCTCCTCAATATGGTAGACATTGCCTTTTATTGTGTTCAAACCATGAAGAATTCAGCCCAGGGAGAGGAAATGCTACCCTTCTTTTATACACTTTCTTCTTTTTCACATTTTGCTGCATGAGAATCCGTCCAGAGGCAAAAGCAAACACACTAGAAATAAAACACTACCTTGTGTCTCTTACTGTAATCTTGCTCTTTTAGCAATAGCTTTTATAAATGTTATAAGTATTATTGGGTAATTTTAATAATAATATTAGTGACTCCTTAAGAAACTGTAATATATTGAAACCATCATGACTTATTCTTGACATACATAAGTCTTAAAAGTACACCCAAGGATTTTATAAGGCTAATGAGTATATAAATAGAAAAATATCTAACACTGGCATTAACTTCAATGGGAAAACTACTAACAATCTAATAAACTGTGCAGGCCTAAATGGACAATGTGGTGAGAGATGTATCAAGAAAGAAAACTGAACAACCAAAGCAAACCAATGTTCTGTTATGACCTATGTACAAGGTGCCTCCCCCAGTCTCAGCAAGTGCTGGTGGAAAGGGACTCCAGCCAAAAAGAGGATATACATGGTTGGTGGGGAAAGGTTGCCCCATATGTTCAAGTGTAAGTCTGGTGCAGCTCATTTTATGGTCAGCTGAGAATAATCTAAAATAATTTTACATTTTTCTCATTTAAATACAATACATTTCCAATTTATAAACAATCTTGTGATATAAGTGCAACTGCTTTCATTTTAAAAATTGTAAATATTACCGAAATGCATCTCATGCACAATATAGAAAATCTAGCGTTCCTATTCAAATGCATCTTTTCTATTACAATTTTGGATTAAAACTTCTATATTTGTTCATTTTTTGTGAATGTTAAAATGATGGGTTATGAAACTAGGTGGAAATAAATTTGACAAAAAAGAAATTGGAAATTAAATTACATAAGTTGCAATTTTAAAAATATAACAAATTTAGCCAGTCATTTAACCAAAATTTCTTTAATTTAACAGGGTAATACATTTATTGGCCCCAACTTCTTCATCACTGCTTATTCTCTCAACACCAAGGATTTCATAGGGCCTTTAAGAAAAACAAATCAAGGGGATAAAATATGGTAGATGCTATTTTTAACAATACTGCTTTATAATCTATAAATAAAAATAAAATGTCACAGTTGACTTCAAATTTTGATTTATACAAGATTCAGATTAAAAATGTGACTGAAGTCACTATGTTTATATTGACAGGATTCACAGGTGATTTTGAGGTGCAAGTCTTTCTGTTTTTACTATTTCTAGCTATCTATCTTTTTACTCTCATAGGAAATTTGGGAATGGTCATATTGATCACTATGGATTCTCGGCTACACAACCCTATGTACTATTTTCTGAATGTGTTGTCCATCTTAGATGCTTGTTATTCTTCAGTTGTCACACCCAAAATGTTGGTCAATTTCCTGAAAGAGAGCAAAGCTATTTCTTATGTTGGCTGTATAGCACAAATGTTTCTCTTTGTTACATTTGGGACCACAGAATGCTTCCTCCTGGCTGCAATGGCATATGATCGCTATGTGGCGATCTACAACCCTCTCCTGTATTCAGTTAGCATGTCACCCAGAGTCTATGTGACACTCATCATTGCTTCCTACATAGGTGGCATTTTGCATGCTTGTGTGCACACGATAGCCACTTTTAGCCTATCCTTCTGTGCCTCCAATGAAATCAGACATGTTTTTTGTGACATCCCTCCCCTCCTTGCTATTTCCTGTTCTGATACTCACATAAACCAGCTTCTACTCTTCTACTTTGTGGGCTCCATTGAGATCGTCACTATCCTGATTGTCCTGATCTCCTATGGCTTCATTCTTTTGGCCATTCTGAGGATGCGTTCTGCTGAGGGGAGGAGAAAAGTCTTCTCTACATGTGGCTCTCACTTAACAGGAGTGTCAGTTTATCATGGAACCATCCTCTTCATGTATGTGAGACCGAGTTCCAGCTATGCCTTGGACCATGACATGATAGTGTCAACATTTTACACCATTGTGATTCCCATGCTGAATCCCATCATCTACAGTCTGAGGAACAAAGATGTAAAAGAGGCAATGAAAAGAGTATTTGGTAAATTGGTGTTTATCAATGAAGTATCTTTTTACAGTTAAGAATAAATTGGAAAATTGAGAGTATGCCTCAATATTAAAAAGATATGATGAACATATTTGCTTTTCTTATCAGAATGGCTATCATCAATAATTCAACAAACAATTGTTTACTAAGATGAGGAGAAAAGGAAATCCTTGTGCACTATGGGTGGGAATGCAGGTTGGTGCAGCCACCATGGGAAGTGGTATGGAGTTAATAAAAAAGGTAAATATGGAGCCTGGAGCTCGGTGCCTCATCTAGTTGGGTAGCATCCCATAGACTGAATGATCTCCAGTTACTTTTCTGTCAGGGCACATGACTGAGTAGTGGGTTCCATCCCCCACTGGGGCATGTAAAAGAAGCAACCATCTGATCTATGTTTCTTTTTTTCATCAATGTTCTTTCACTTCCTCTCTCACTCCATTCTCCCTCTCCTAAAAAAAAATCAATAAAATGTTTTAAAAGTCTAGCTTACAAATATCTAAAAGTAGAACTGCACGGTAAAGTGAGGATAAATGGAGATTGAAGGAGACATAATTTGGGGTGATGAACATACAGTACAATTTACAGATGATGTAGTGTAGAGCTATACCCCTGAAACCTATATAATTTTCTTAAACCGTGTCACCTAATTAATTCAATTAAAAAATACATCAAAAATTTGAAAAGTTGAAAAATATTTTATAAATATAATAATGGAACTGCCTTAAGACCCAATGATTCCACTTCTGGAAATATATCTGGAAAAAAACTAAAATGCTAATTTGAAAAAAATATATGCACCTCTATGTTCATTGCAGAGTTAATTAAAAAAGCCAATATTTGGAAGCAGCCAAAGTGTTTATCAGTAGTTAAGTGGATAAAAAAGTTGTGGTTGTTTACACAATTGAATACCATTCAACCACAAAACAGAAAGTAATCTTACCATTTGCAACAGATGGATGGGTGTGGAGGGTATTATGCTAATTGAAATAAGCCAATCAGAGAAGGACAAGTACCATATGATTTCACTTTTATCTGGAACCTACAGAACAGAATAAGGAGAATAAGGTAACAAACAAAATAGAAACAGATTCATAGACACAGAGAACAGACTGACAGTTGTCAGAGGAGAGAGAGTTTGGGGGAATGGGTGGAAAAGGTGAAGGGATTAAGCAGTACAAATTGGTAGTTACAGGGTAATCACAGAAATGTGGATTACAAAACAGGAACTATGAGGTCTGTCCAGAAAGTATCCATTTATGTGAAATAAAAAATAGAGACATTTACTAAAGAAGATACAACATACAAAAAACATTGTGTGTAGGACAATGACACCTTAGTCCCCTTCAAAGTAGGAACCTTGGGACCTAGCACAGTGCTCCTAATCAACATTAGCTGTCCTTTCATATTTTTCTGAATCTCATCGATGGTCTGAAACCTCTTCCCTTTCAAAGGTAATTTTAATTTTGTGAAAGCCAGAACTTACAGGGTGCCAAAAGTGAGTGATAGGGTTGAGTCATCTGGGCAATTGATGTTTTGGGGAAAAAAACTGCATGAGACATGATAAATGAAGAGGAACATTGTCATAATGAAGCTGCCAATCACCAGTTGCCCATAACAGTAGCCATTTTCATCATATTGCATCTCTCAACCAATGAAGATGTTTCATGTAGTACTATTTATTAAATTTTTGGTCTTGAGGGGTATACTTGTGATGGACAATACCTTCAAAATCAAAACCACACTTAACATTGTCTTGATATCCCTACAACTTTGCTGCTCCTTTTTCAGCCATGGAGAACCAAGAGACTTCCATTGAGATGATTGGGCCTTTGTATTTGAATCATAGCCATAGATCCATGATTCACCTCTGGTTATGCTTTTCTTGAGGAAATCTGGTTCAATGGTAGGGGTGTGAATCAAGTCATTAGCAACTTCAGCACGATGTTCCTTTTGTTTTGGTAGCAGAAGCCATGGAACAATTTTTACCACAACATATTTCATGCCAAGATCTTGTGTGAATATCTCAGACTCAGTAGTTTTTGGAATCCCCAGGTCATCTTCTATTTCTTGCACTCTCAGTTGCTGATCTTTGTTGATTGTAGTCCGTAAATATTCAACATTTCAGGTGTTGCGCTTGTTGCAGGCCTTCCAGAACATGGGTCACTTTCAACAAATTCTCAACCATCTAAATCATTTGTGCCACACTTTCATTTGTGCAGCAGTCATGGCATTCTCCCCAAAGCCTTCTCAATCATCTGAATAGTTTTTGCAGAGGAATGCTCAAGCTTAATGCAAAATTTGATGCAGATTCATTGCTGTACTCACTCAGTCATTTTGAATGAGATGGCCACACACATGCTCACTCATTGGAGTCTACGATGCCCACTGACGAGTACAGCAAAGTCATCATTCTTCACACATGCACCTTCCAGTCCAGTCTCCTTGGAAGCCAGGTTACATCAATGTCATAAACCATTCTTGTTACTATTAGTAACAGTGGCTGGAGTTTTTCCTGACAGACCTCAAACAATCAATGACATTGAGAAAAATATTTGCAATCAGGTGGATACATGAAGCAGTGAGGGGACCACTCTGAAGTACATGATTGTCTAACCACTTAGCTGTCCATCTGAAACTATAGCAGAATAATCTTAAGTATAAATGATAATGGAAAATTAAAGTAAAAGAAAGAAACAATTGTGAGAAAAATTATAACGTAACAACAGAAAGAGAACTCACTAAGAAGAGACACTTATAGGAGGGAAATGGGTGAATAGCAGTGGGGAGAGAATTCAAAAAGGAGAAAAGAAATGTAGAGAAATTGTTGGGGGGAATGTATTGTGAAAAGAGATGCTTTGTGTTTGTCCTGCTAAGGTGTTATTTAAATTTAACGATTCTACTTTAGAGAAATATTGTTAGTGTTCTATGGTCTAGGGAGATTCTTTTTTGCTGAAATCAAAGGGTTTTCACAAAGAAATTAATAATAACAATAGTAATATTGTTAACTATTGTAATCACAAAAACAAATGGAAAGAATAAAGAAAAACAGAAGGGAAGAGGGAAAGACAACTACCAATTAAAGTTATTCTTGAAGGACACATGCACTTGCAATGAAAGTGAGGTCTGTGGGAAGCATTGTCGAACATGAACACATCAGGAACACTTTTCTGTATCTTGGTTCCTGAGCACAGAGACTGAGGAGGGGGAGGGAGCATCTGCACAGGCATCATAGGCTGGGAGGGGTCAGAGTAAATCATAACCAGAGCTGGGCCAGCACCCGGCCTCTAGGAAAAAGTGTCAAGATCAGCAGGAGCTCAGTTGTGGGGAGAGTTTAAATGCAAGCCAGTTATGTCTTACCCTCCAAATTGTCCTTGTCTTTTGTCATGTTTGACTTTAAGTATGACCTTTATAAATGTTCATGCCTACTCTCTATATATTGTGAGAAGTAAAAAAAATGGATTTTGTTTGTGCTTTTGAGGAAATAATAAAAGGCAGTGAAATGCACCATCACAGAAACCATGGCAATGACACTGAGAATTCACAAACATTACCTGTAGTCTCAATTCCATAGGCTGTACTTAGAATTGCTACTAATGCATAGACCAAAGGGAGGAGCAGAGTGTTTTGATCCACAGTCAGATACCAATGATTCTGTGGTAAGTGGTGTGTGAGCTATAGTTTTGGTGTCAAAGAATTTATAGGTTCAACACAATCCCTGTTAAAATACCAATGACACGTTTCACAGATACTGAACAAACATTTCAAAAATTTATATGCAACCATAAATGACCCTGCATATCTTCAGCAATTTTGAGAAAGAAGAACAAAGTAGGAGGGATCACAATATCTGACACCAACCTATATTCTAAGGCTACTGTAATCAAAACATTCTGGTACTTGCATAAGAACAGACACATAGACCAATAAAACAGAATAGAGAGCCCAGAAATAAACCCATGTCTCTATGGTTAACTAATATTTGACCAAGGGGCAGAAGCATAAAATGGAGCAAAAATAATCTCTTCAAAAATGGTGCTTTGATATCTGGGCAAGCAAATGCAGCAAAATGAAATTCAATCACCAAATTATACAATACACACAAATAAACTCAAGGTGGATAAAAGACTTAAATACAAGTCATAACACTGTAAAAGTCCTGGAGGAGAACATAGGCAGGAAAATCTCAGATATTTTGTGCAGCAATAGTTTCACTGATATGTCCAATAGAGCAAAGAACATAAAGGAAAGAATAAAAAAATGGGACTTGATCAAATTATAATCTTCTGCATGGCTCCAGAAAACACCAGTAAAATGAAAGGAGAACCAGCCATATGGAAAAATATATTTGCCAATGATAACTCGGACAAGGGTTTTATCTTCAAAATATATAAAGAACTCAAATGACGTATTTCCGGGAAGACAAAAAATTGAATTAAAAAAATGGGCAAATGACCTGAACAGACAGTTCTTCAAGAAGGACACACAGGAGTTCCACCAAGATGGAGGCATAGGTGGAGAAGCCATGTTTTCTCTCACAACCAAGTTAAGAGACAACTAAATATTAGCAACAGAAAACACAGCCAGAACACAGAAAATTGAACTTTTCGGAAGTCTGATAACAACAAATTCTTCAGCCTGACCTGTAAGAGGGGCGAAAACAGCAGCTGTCAGAGCAGGGTTGCACAGAAAAACTCGGTCAGACAGACTCGGGCATGTGGAACCCAGGTGCAGGGATGGACCTAGTAAGTGACTCAGCCAGCGACCACGGGGAAACAGTGAGGGAGCAGGGCTGCGGGTTGACTGCTGTTGCGCTTTCATGCTCAGATAGACAAGCAAGGGCGTGGGCGGTGAGACTACAGGACTGAGCAGGCTACACGGCCAGCGGCAGCAGAGGGTGTTGCCATTTCCCTGCTCTGACCCCGCCTTCACATACAGCATCATAACCAGTGACCTGAGTGGCCCTGCCCTGGTGAACCATCTAAGGCTCCTTTCCTCACCCAGCAGCGCGAAACAGCAGAGGGGGTCGCCATTTCCC